GAGGCTCAACCTCTGCCCTAGGGGGCTGCTGGCTTCTCAAACATTAAGGGACAAAGGCAGGAGTGCTCTGAGCCCAGCCTACCCAAGGCAGCCACAGCTTTGGGGGAAAAATGCACTTCTTTCCACCCCTCCCACCCCTGCCTGAGTCCTGCCATGCCTAAGACAGTATCCCCTAACAGTGGCCCCTGTTTTGGGGACCTCATGTTCTCAGCCCTTCCTCAGGAAAACCAGAGAGCTAAACTCACTGGTGAACATCTCTTTATTGGAAAACGCTGGTGGGTGTGGGGGCTCCTTAGACTCCGCTGCCCGGACCTGCATCTGGACATGCTTCAAAGCTCTGGGTCCTGAGCCAGCAGTAGTAAAGGAAGACACAGATGTCCATCCCCAGGGCGGACAGCAACACCAAGAGCAGAGTCCCTGTTACGAGTGTCAGTGAGCTGGGAAGACTTCCATATATAAGAGGGAGAGGCTAGTTAGGGCCTGGAGAGGCAAGAAGTGTGCCAGCGGCGGCAGGAAGTGCACCAGCAGGGGCAGGAAATAAACCAGCAGAGGCAGGAAGTGCGCCAGCAGAGCCAGGAAGTGCACCAGCAGAGGTAGGAAGTGCATCAGCGGGGGCAGAAAATGCACCAGAAGAGGTAGGAAGTGTACTAGCAGGGGCAGGGAGGAGACTGGATGACAGCCCCCATTACCCAGAACCATGTTGTTCACATGGGAGAGGGTGCAGGGATTCCGGCCTCAACTGGTACCTACGTGACCTCAAGCCTCAGTTTCCTCATCTATAGAATGGGATCTGATTGTGTCTACTGCGTGGGATTATTGGGAGGATTCTTGGGAGGATTAAACAGAAAAATGGAAGCCCTGGCCCCTCCCTTCGCAGATAGGCAACAAAGGCAGCATTTATTAACAATATCCAGTGGGCAGCAGTTACTGTTCTTCTGGATAAGGAGGCTTAAAGGGGTAAGTGGCTTCCAGGGGCATGAGGTAAGCAAGCTCATAGCCAGATTGCCTGAGGTTTCAAGCTCTGCCCTGGCAGGCCACAAATGGGGGCTCAGAGAGGAGGGGGAGGGGAAAGGAGGAAGCCAGAGCCTGGTTCTACAGGGACAGCCAAAGACCACTGGATGTGGGGCCCCAGTGTCTCTCACTGTGAAGGGGACCTGGAGAAGAGCCCAGGCTACAGGAGAGGCCTCCCTCACTCGTCTCCAGGCCCCCTAGAGTCAGAAACCTGACTCAACTCAGAGGACAAGTCAGCCTTCTCTGTCACCTGATTGGAAGCCTTCTTAGGGGCCTGATTGGAAGTCTTCTCAGGGGCCTGATTGTAATCTGGAAGCCAAAGACATCAAAGACAGTTTTAAGCCAAAACACAACATGCCCTCACTCCCCCAACATACACAGCTGTAAACTTCTGACCTTCTACTATTTGCTTACTGATGCTGAAAGTTGAGAGAATATGAAGCTATTTTTTTCCTAAGGAGAGAAAGATAACATGTTGTTTATACTATGGTGTGAGTGACTACAAGCTTTCTCTCTCCTCTGTGAAACTCTCAGAAGGGCATATATCAAGGGTTATGTGGGTGGAGATGAAGGGGTCTCCAGATATCTGTTTAATAAAGATTAGATGAGAGCCTCAAAAGTGGCAGACCAATCTAATGGTCTCATTTTGCACTTGGGGAAACCAAGGCCCAGAAATGGAAAGGATTGCCCAAGGTCCCACACAGTAGGAGCCTCTCCAGACAGGGTCCAGAAGCCAGGACCCTCCTTGGTTCTGATCAATGGGCACCTCGAGTGGGTCTTTGTGGCCCAGGCCAGTGTCAGTTTCCTCAGAGGCCTTTAGTAGTAAGATGATGCCTTCTATAAGCCTGTTCATGCAAGGCTGTGACTGGTTTCCTTGGCCAGCTGCCTCCCTTGCCTCAGAGCCTACCTCCACCCTACCACACCCAAATCTGGGGCCTCCTACCTGCCAAGGACCTTTGATAGGGTAACCAGGGGGCCAGGCAGGTAACCTCACAACCATTACACATACTCCCAGGGCAGCATCCAGAAGTTCCTACCTAGAGGTCAGGGACGGGGGTGGTCAGTGCACCAGAGATGGGAACTGGGGGTGGCATGGACCAGACCTGCATTTAACAAGCAAAGAAACAGAGGCTAACAAAAGGTCAGTGACTTATCCATGATGTCACAGCCAGCAAGAGCTGGCGCTGGGATTTGAACCTGGGTCTAGGTCACAGTCCAAAGTCTCCATTCCCAGTATGAGGTGAAGACCTCATAGCCAGGCATGACAGGGACCTGAGAGGTGAAGGCTACAGTAAGTCATCATTGCACCGCTGTACTCCAGTCTGGGCAACAGAGCGAGACCCTGTCTCAAGGGAAAAAAAAAAGCCAATTCTGCTTTGAAGAACGATGTATTTGGTGGTAGACACTGTGGTGTTCCCTTCTATGAGCCTCAGTGTCTTCATGTGGGAAATGGGAATGATGGTTTTATCTCCTCACGAGGCTGTTGAGGATGCAAGAAACGAATGCACGTAAAGGGCATGTGCAAACACACAGATGCTAAATGGCAAATCTGCATCAAATCCTTAGCTACTGAATTCTGCAGTGATACAGTGCTCTGCATCTTTCAGAGAAAGGCTCACACTCAGAGAGGCTGTGACTTGCAAATCAGTATGATCTGATTCTACTCTTCTCTCCAGCCCAGACACCCCAGCTCTGCTCCCCCGAATCTGCTGGGTACCCCCTGGCTCTTGGCAGCCTTGTCCTCATGAGCCTCCAACAGCCCCCTTACCAGTTGGATGAAGCCATTAGCTTTAAATGGGGTAGTGAAGACCTCGTAGCCAGGCATGACAGGGACCAGGGAGGGCAGGTAGGTGCCAAGGCACAGGTGGCAAGCATCCACCTGGGGTTCCTTCCTCACTGCCAGGAGGACGTCTGTCTCATTACATTCCTGCAGGAGGCTGTCTCCTGAGAGTCCAGCCCAGGTTAGCTCAGGCGGAGAACCAGACTCAGTGAGAACATGGCCAGCAGATGGTGCCCCAAAACCTCCCCCAGCATCCGCCACCTTCAATTAATTCCCTGCATCTCCAGAATGGAGCATGGAGCCGGGCACAGTGGCTCACGCTTCCAATCCCAGCACTTTGGGAGGCTAAGGCGGGCAGATCACTTGAGGTCAGGAGTTCAAGAGCCGCCTGGCCAACATGTTGAAATCCCTTCTGTACTAAAAACACAAAAATTAACTGGACATGGTGGCATGCACCTCTAGTCCCAGCTACTCGGGATGCTGAGGCAGGAGAATTGCTTGAACCCAGGAGGGGGAGGTTGCAGTGAGCCGAGTTTGTGCCACTGCACTTCAGCTTGGGTGACAGACTCGGTCTCAAATAATAATAATAATGGAGCAGGGTAAAATGTTGGGGGGCTGTAGGGATGGTGGTGTTTCCCCCTACAGACAGGATGTCCACCGACCTCATCCCCATCAGCCTGGCCTGGGAGTGCCTGAAAGCCCCTTATGTGAGCACCTACTATGTGCCAGGCATCTGCAAACCTGCACCCCAGTAGTTCCTTACAAGGCATCACCAGTGGGGCAGTCAAGGGCAGAGGGGGCCCACAGTAGGGCATAGTAAGCGGCAACAACAGAAGGGGCCCTGGAGCTGGTTCGGAAGGATGCTCCTAGCTGGCCAAGAGGGAAAGGATTTGCAGCTGAGGAACAGTGTGTTGTGAGGAAAGGCATAGAGGCACAGGAGGGCAGGTGATGGGGAGGACAAGGCTGGGCGCTTAGGCTGTGCCCATGAGCACAAAGCCTGCATGTGGCCTGGGCAACTCCCAGCTTTAGGGAGAGCCTGCAGACTGGAAGGTGGAGAGTGAGTGAGCAAGGAATTGGTGGTAGATGCCAGGAGATGTCACAGGGATGCAGGTGTGAACGTGCCCCGCCTGGGGCTGGGAGTGCCGGGGGAGATGAGCTGGGAAAATGTTGGACTGGAGAAGGATGTGACTGCCAGCTCAGACAGGGAATGGGGGGTGGGGAGGGGGGGCTAGAGAACGAGGCGGGGCTTAGAACCTTTAAGGGAGCTGGGAGGGAGCGGCAGGTGACTGGGCAGAGGCCATAGGGGCTTGGGAAGGGGACCTTGCCAGTGTGGGACAGTAAGAGTAGCAGAGAAAGGATCACCCCACATCACACTCATCCTGTAGCCATGGATACTCCCAGAGCAGCAGGGACCACCACCCCAGAGCCCCCATCCTGTCTTGCTGGCAGCACCCCCACCCAGCCCTGCAGCCCCTTTAAGTCCCAGCCCAGGTGCAGGCAAGTCCCACCAGGGCAGGATCAGCCTACCTGACTGCACCTGGGCTGCAAGGGGTGGGGCCAGGGTCTTGGCAGGAGCTGATTTGGGGCTTGGGGCAGGGCTGAGGGGCCCAGGTGTGCTTTGGCCCTGTGCTCCCACCTCTCTATCTCTCTGAGCTGTTGAGGGAGCTGGCCCAGGATCGAGCCCAGCAGCTCAAGGGAAGCCACAAGGAAAACAGACCATTCCCTGATTCTAAGAAGCCCCCTGGTCACTTCCTTCTCTGCAGGCTGCTGAGTCCCCTCATGAGGAGGTCTCATGTGACCCTCATATAGGGCTGCCACTACCATCTTGGGCACCTTCAGGCTCAGATGGTATCTGCCTAACAGGGTCCCCTCCCAGAGGGGTCGGTGCTTTAGGAGGCTTGCAACAAGAGGGCAATGCCAGGCTGAGTGCAGTGGCTCATTCCTATAATCCCAGCTCATTTCCTATAATCCCACTGAGGTGGGAGGATTGTTTGAGCCTAGGCATTCAAGGCCAGCCTGGGCAACATAGGGAGGCCCCCATCTCTATTAAAAGTAAGTAAAGGCTAATGCCTACCCCAAAGGAGGCTGGCAGCACCAATGTGGGACACCAGGTACCTGCAGGGAAGCACTGATGGGCGGGAGGCTGCTACCCATCCCTCCTCCCCACCACCACATCCTTGCTCATCCCAAACAGAAATGAAGACACAACAGCCTTGTCAGGATTTATTGGGTCAGGGAAGGGCCTGGCCAGAGAATCTGTCCTGAGGTGTCCCTGGTACTGCACTCCTGAGTTTCTCCCTGAGTTGTCTGCCGCTCCTTGTTCAGCCGTGCCACCGTGGGGTGACTTTGTCAAGCACCTGGGAGTCCTGGGTTCCCAGCTTGCCAAGTGATCTTGGGCCTATTCCTTGCCCTCCCTGAGCCTCAGTCTCTCATCCTCCATGGGAGGATGTAATTTTCCTGAAAAAGACAGGGCTGGGCCCACCCAGGGTCCACTTCCACTCAGCCTCATGGATTAAGGGGAAGCAGACAGGGTTCAGGGCCCGCCCGTCTGTGACTCTGCAGCCACTGCTTCTTGAAGCCTTTGTCTCTAAGCTTCTGTCCGGCTCAAACCCACTCAGGTGCCAGGGTCTTTGGACCCCAGGGAACCAGGTGTCCACATCCCCTGGCAGGAGTGGGAGGTTGACATGAAGCAGGAGGAGGCTGATGCACAGGCCAGGTACCAGCGTGTGATCAGGAGGAGCTGGGCTTCCCGACTGACGGGTAGAGCTTGCGCAGGCTGGAGTCCAGGAGGAAATCCACTGACCTGTAGGGAGTGAGATGGTGGTGAGCAGGTGCCCAAGGGTGTTCATGAGGGAACAGAAGGCAGAAGGCCAGGGTTAGGGAAAGAGATGCTTAGATTCAGGATACAAATGCCATACAGGCAGAGACCCACCCTTATCCTGATCCTCCCACCTTGGGTTACTTGGGGAAGCTAGACTCAAATTCTCAGAATAGAAGCCATCCTCTTCTTTATTCAGGAGGAAATTGAGGCACCGGGTAAAAGACTTGCTCAGGGCCTCAGGGTCAGCTATCTTCTTCTGGAGAAAGACTCCTCCTCTCATTCTTACATTGGTCTGGTTGGGTTGAGCCCATCTCTGGTTCTAAGACCAAGTATGTGACCCAAGTCTGGCCAATCAACAAAGGGAAATTGGCTCAGAATGGACCACCGACACCCTTACTTGGGATTTTTGTTGTTACTATTTAAAAGCTTCTGCTGGGGGAGGCTAAGCTGGTGGGATAGAAGTTGGGAGCTGCTAGGGCCATTTCTGCTCCCACAAGGAGAAAGCAGGTGAAGCCAGCAAGAAGTAGGGTGGGGTGGGGAGAAAGGCAGCAGGATGGGGAGACGCAGACCCTTAATGATATCATTTGGGTACCTAGATCCAGCCATGCCTAAATGCAACACAAACCTGGACTTTTATTCCATTTTATTCAAACTTTCAGTTTGAGTTAGGCTTCTGTCACCAATACCTCCCAAAATGCATCCCCTCCAGGGTGCACCTGCTCCTGCCTCCCTCTGGTTGTTTTGTAACACTAGGCTTTCTTTCTGGGAATTTACTTGTCCTGTGTCCCATACCCTCGAGGCACCCCTCTTCTTTTATTGCTGAAGTGCCTGCCAGACCATATGACAAGGGTACAGGCTGTCCTTTCTACCCCAGGGGCCAAGTGCCAGCCTTGTCCCTGTATTGTTCCAGCAAAGTGGGCATGACCCACACTTCGCAGAGGGTAGCTCTACCTGGAGAGTGGATGATCCCTGAGGCCAGGAAGGCACCCACCTGTCAATGGGGTGGATAATGATGGGGATGGTCAACAGCCCAAGCGCAGTGGTGCTCCACTTGCGGACAGCCAGGGGCCAGCGGGTGGCAGTGCCCAGGACATAGAGAGAGGCGGCACACACGCGGTTGATGGTGAAGCCCGGAATGGCCACAGAGGCCAGAGCCTGCCATACAAAGGTGTCCACCACAGCCACGGTCACCCTGGCGCTGCGGCCTGCTTCGGGGCTCGGTACCTGATGGGCATAGAGACACTTAATCCAGCTGGGGCAGAGGCAGGAAATCCTGCAACAAGGGGCATGAGGCTAGACCTGGGGGGGCAAGTGGCCAGTGGACTTGTCCACACCCAGGAGTGGGGTACAGTCTGCCACATCCAGGTCTGGGAGTGAGAGTGTGGGGGCGGGGGTACACTGTCCTACAAACAGGACTGTCTGTGGACTGCACTAGGCAAGGTTGTAGGGACCGGAGTGTCCCACAGGGACTTTATCACAAGCAAGGCTGCGGACTGAACCACACAGGAAGAGAGCTGGGGTGGGGAGTTGGAAAATAGGCTAACACTCACCTCTCCAGCCTTCTTGCCTTTGTCAATGGCATCCGCCAGCACGTAGGAGCTGGCCACGCCATAGCTCAGCCACACCACCGCCGCTGGCACAAGAGAGCGGAAAGCCTCGCCCACCTCATTGGCATAGCCTGGGGGAGGGAACATTTAATTCCTAGGTTCACGAACTGTTCAACAAGGGGGCGCTGGAGGCAGGTGCGTTGCGTCATCTCTTAGCCAGCTAAGCAGTCCTGAGGTGACTTGAGGCAGAGTGACTGTTACCTCTCTGAGCCTGCTTTCAAGATGTAATACGGGGCTATGGATCCCACCTCGGACTCGGGCGCACGCAGGGCGGGGGGCACAGAGTGCACGCCGACGCTTACATTGCCTTATTGGTTAGTTTCCATGTCTTGCGTCCCGAGGAGTAACTGCGGCTAATGAAGGTTGACGATGGCAGCAGGCAAGGGGCAGGAGTGGATCGAGGCAGCGCCACTGATGCGACGCTTCGCAAGTTGCCAGGCCTTTCTGCGCTTGTACTCCATTTCTCACCTCGCAAGCACTACTCAATGACAGAGGGCGCGGAGCCGGTGTCATGCTGTTTGTTTTTGGTTTTGTTTTTTGTTTTTTGCCGGAGGAAACTGGTGGTACTCAAACAGGTTCAGACAGAATAGTGCGTGTCAGGAGCGACCGAAATGGGCTTGTGGAGGATCTCAGACTCCACAGCCAAGCACGGAGGGTCGCGATCCAGAATGCTTGGCAGGCGTCGCGCTCACCCATGCGAGCGTTGCGCGCCTGGGCGGCCACGCCAGGCGGGGTAGTGTGACCGTTGCGGAGGGAGTCCCTAGCCGCCTATCGTGAGCAGTCTCGGGGCCCAAAGCAGAATGAGAACTAAAGGCCACCTCCCGCCTGCCTCTAGGCACCCAGAACACCCGCCGGCCGGCGTCGGCGACCCTGGCTTAGTGCGCCAGTCCATGGTGGGTGGGTCGCCGCGGCCGTTCGCCGAACGCAGGCTCACCCAGGTAATCGCACGCACGGCTTGTTCCGTAGAGATCGCGCTCTGCGCCACACGCGGCTGCGCTCTGGACATGACTCTTCCCGCACAAGCCTAGGCCACTTGTAGCCTCTGTACTGGCGTCAAACTGCAGTCGCCGCGCAGGCACTCTGGTCGCCCGCCGGACCCCGCCAAGAGGTTAACGCGCCGGAAGAGGACAGTCAGAAATGCTCGCCGCAGGGAGCGTTCTGAAATTCCCGCCCGCGCACCGAAGCCTATCCCAGGCGGTAGGGTTTTACAGATTGTTTTGGCGTCACGCTTTCTCGAGCGGTTGCCCGTACCGCCCCGAGGACGGTGTAGGTTTTGGAGCCAAAGAGACAGGAGAGTTCAAGAATCGGGGATGCTACACGCAAGTGGTGAAGCCTCGGGCGAAGGTCTGGCGGTCTCCAGCCGCCTCTTTTATTCATTCTGTAAAAAACGGAGGAGGGACACGAGACTGTGGCCCGTTTGGCGTGAGTCTTGTGATTCCCGCAGCTGTTGGGAGGCCGGGTAGGCGGGAAGATCGCTTGATCAAGGGTCAAGGAACAGCCGCTGGTACAACATAGCGAGACCTGGTCTCTACTTAAAAAAAAAAAACAGAGCGGGGCGCGGATGGGCTTTCAAGCCCTGTTCAATCCCAGCACTTTTGGGAGCGAGACGGCGGGCGGATCACCGAGTGTCAGGGATCGAGAGCCATCCCTGCTAACAAATGAAACGCCCTCTGCCTACTAAAAAATACAAAAAATTAGCCCGGGTTGTGCTGTAGTCCTCAGCGCTACTTGGTGAGTGCTGAGGGCGCAGAGATGGCGGGGAACGCCGGGAGGCGGAGCTTGCAGTGAGCCGAGGATCGGCGGGCCACTGCATCGCGCCGCAGCTGGCGAAGGAGCCCCCGAGCTCCGCCTTAAAAAAAAAAAAACAAAAAAAACGTGGTATATTAAAGATGGGGGGTAACACAATTAGATGTCCCACTCCCCTAGGATGCTTGCGCGAGGAAGGGAATTATTATAAGTCCCGACCATTTATTGAGTTTATTGCCAGTCTGGATGTTCGCTAAAGGGCTCTCCATGGCTTACACCTTAAACCCTCCCACCAGCCTGGGACTCCGTTTTACAGGTGAGAAAATGGAGGCATAGAGAAGGTGGGTCATTTTCCCAGAACACACAGCTGCCAAGTGGTGAAGTTGGGATTTGAATCCAAACAGTATGGATCCAGATCCCGTGCTCTTAATGTGAGCTCTAAATGAGGCTAGAGTAGTGAACGGTAAGCGCCTGGAAGGTGGGTGCCTGGACTCTGAAGTGCCTTCTCAGCAGGCGCCATGTATAACTAGGAAGCACTCGCATCTAACTGGATCAGTATGTCCCCAGACTGAGCCTCTTGGGGACAGGGTGTTGAACGAATGAACGAATGAATGAATCGGGCAAGGGAGACAGAGTTGGGGTTAGTGATTACAACAGGAGGAAGCCTTCCCCTGGTGGACCTCAGTTTACCCAGTGAGCAATGTGTATACTTCCCTAAGTCTCTGTGACTCCTTGGCGGGTATAATTGAGCGGCATTGGAGAAAATCCTGGGTTCAAATCCTAGCTGTGCCGCCTACTGGCTGTTAGCCTCCCTGAGCCCCAGTTCCCACGTCTGCAAAAAATAAGAGTAGCCAACATTGACGAGCACTTACTTATACCAAGCTCTTAAGCGCTTTGCACGGCTTATTTCCTTTAATCTTTGCAACAACCCAAAGTACAATAGTAAGCACAGGGTTACCGGGTATCGCGTGATACCCAGTAGGCCTCATTAAGAATGTTCTTATTTTCATCAAAGGTAGGGAAAATGAATAACACTGGCTCCCTATTGTGGCCCCCCGCTTTCAGCCCCAGGCGCCTCTGTCTTGTAGGGCTGTACAGGACAGTCCCGTCAGCAGTTACCTCAAGCGGAACTGGGCTTGTAGGTTGGGGAGGGTAGTTCGTCGGAGAAAAGTTGGTGGCGAACTCAGCGGTCCCCAGCCCCTTGAAACACCGGCAATGCTGGCGTGGAATTATTAGACAGTCCCTAAAACCACGTGATCGCTGCTCCCTCGCCGCCCTCTCACTCTCAGCCCACTGCTAACCCCGCAGGCGCTCGCCCCGACTCACACTTGGCTCGCACGGGCTACGCGGCACGTACTGAGCAGCTGGCGGGGCGGGGCCTCCGCCCTCATTGTGAAGACGATCAGGAGCATCCTTAGTGCCCTGATCAAAGATGGCGGAAGACAACCCACCAACTGGGCCAATCAAAAGGCAAGCTGGACGTGGCCCCTTGAGAAAGCTCACGCTAGAGCCGAAGAGAATTTCTGCGCATGCGCCCAACCTATTGGCGTGAAGCGGCTGCTGTGTCCCTTAGGCCGCCTAAGTTTGGGCTTCTTGAGTGAGAGGCAGCGAGGAGCCAAGCGGTGGGCATGGAATTTCACTCCCTGCACACTGAACGTTGTTTTATTCCTGGTTAATTTTCCTAACAGCGTTGTAAACCCAGGCTGGGATGTCCTGAGCGGTCTGGCAGAGGCCTGTGTAGCCTCGGCCCCTTCCGGTCCGCGTTAGCCCGGCCTTTGCCCCGAGCTCCCTCAGCTTCGCAAAATGAGCTTCCCAGGCGGGGCCAGGGCCTGGCTCTGAGGGAAAGGCGTTCCCGCCAGGTCTAGGGCCGCCTTCCCATGTTCTGTGCAGCCCAGCACCTGTGGTTCGTTGGCGGGGCTCGTGGGATTGGGGTAAGGGCTGTGGTTTCGAGGCCGTCTGTGGCCGCCCCCAGGCCCTGGTCTGCGAGACGCTGGCCCCGCCTTTGGGCGGCCTCCTGCCTGGGGGGCCTCCAGGCCTGGCTACGCCGACCGGCATCTGAAGTCCCTGCACGCGTTGTATGCCTCCCACAGAGGTGGGACTGCTAAGACCTTGCTCAGGTCAGTCAGGAAGCGGGTTGGTGGGCACCCTCTCCGAGTGCTGCTCTCTTGATCCCACTTAGCTTTTTTGTCTCGGGGTTGCTCACATGGAGGACTGCTTGGTGAGAGGCCGGTAGCACTGAAAAGGGCACTGGAAGATCTGCTTTTAGCATTCACTCCCACCCCTAACCTCCCTGGCCCTCCCTGCAGCTGTGATCCCTGGGGGTCATTTCCCTTGTGCTTTGTTTGCATGGAGAACAGCGGGTGGGTACCCGAAGTCCCAGGAAGCTCTGAGTCACTGCCAATCATTAGTAATCAAAGAGGCAGGCTGTGTGGCCCAGGAGTTGCTAAAGTCTCAAAGTGAGGGAGAGGCCAGCCTGTCTACCCCTAAGTGGAAAGATCTGTGCTGACTCAGGCCACCTCCTGAGACCTGGGAAAAGCCAAAAGTTACCCCAGCCTCAGTGCTAAAAAGTTTGGAAGAGCTTCTGATCCCCACCGTAACTAGCAACCAGCTACCCTGCTACTTACTGCGATCTAAACTTCGGTGTTCATTTAGGAGCAAGTTTCTCCCCGGCAGCTGACTTCCCTGAAGTGTTACGTTCCAATCTTTCCCCCTTTTCTAATTTTTTTCCCTGCTGCCACCCTGTGGTACCCCCCACCCCTTAGCTTCGCTGTCCCTGGACAGGTGAAGTTGGCACACTTTACAGGACAGACAGATCCTATCACAATGGCCAGCCCCTGGGGACTCCTTAGGTATTCGAGAGACAAGGAGACCCACTCCAGTCACTCTTCCTCTGCCTAACTGAAATGAAAGCTCCTGAGGTCTGTCCTCTAGCCCAGTTTCTTTAGGCTTTAGGGTTGTGCGAAAATGACTGCTACAAGGGGTAGAAATTGGCAGGGAGACACTGAGGGGGCCAGGCCGGCTGCAGAAGGAGGTGTTATTTTGGGGTGCCTGCCCCCAGCTGTTTCATCTTCTCTTCTGAGGCTTTGTCTGGAAGCAGGACCTCCACAGTGAAATTGACCTTCTTGGCATGAATGAAGCTGTAGGTGTTGTCAAACCGCAGGACATCTGAGGGGAGGCAGAAACCAGACAGACATTCAGGCAGTTCTGACAAAGGGCTTGGGGATAGCGATTTTTGTTGATGTTTATTGACTGAGCAAGGCAGTGTGGCAGGTCATGGGGATGAAGGTAGCCTAGGCAATGATCCTTGACCTTCTGAATCTTAATTTAGCTGCGTTGACATGACATTCATGGAG